GGGTTGGACACCTGACGCTGGCTTCCGGGGCTTAGATGGGCCTCAGAACTCCGGAGGTGTTGAGGCGGAGCTGCAAGGCTGGCGCCTGCGAACCCAGGAGGAGGCCACTAGTCCCACCGCTTGGAGCTGCGCTGGCTCAGGGCGCAGTTCCTGCGGGGAGGCTCCTGCGTGGCTGGAGACCCCAGCCCCTGCCGCTCTGCTTCAGGCCCGTGACCTTGACAGTATCATTGTCTGGAGAAGCAAAGCGCTCATGCCCGAGATGAGTATTTAATTCCCATCCCTAGGGCTGGTCCTCGCTGAGTTCCGAGCTAGCAGGAAGCCCATACTCCCTCGAGGTAAGCGCATCGGAGCGGAATGGCGGAGATGGGGACGTGTGCGGGGTGGAGGTCTCCAGGGCGCCCCCTCCGGAGAGTGGCCTCCGCCACGTTTATACCTGTGCGTCAGGAGTCAGGGGCTCGGATGCTCCCTGTACTCCAGGGGCCCGCAGTGGAAGGAAGCCTTGTGTTTCCTCTTAAAGCCCAAACAGCCCTGTCAGGCCTCCCAGTTCAGAAATCCCGAGGCCACTCACCTTACAGCACCAAGTCGCTGTCAAGAGGAATTTTTTAAAACCAATTTGATCCTACTCCTCTTTCCTTTGAGAAATGTTTTATCTAGTTCTTTGGATTAGAAATTTCTAACCAGACCTGTCTTTGGAGCAGTTCAGCTGAGAACATGAAGCTGGTGGGGTTGGATTGGAGAGATAGGAAGATTCATTGGAGGGCACTGCCCTTGTTAGCAGGAATTTCCAGAAACTAAGAAGATCCTTAACGACTCCAAAAAAAAAAATCAATCAAAACTTTTGTTAAATCCTGTTAGGCTGGTGTCTGGAGGCCAAGGTCAGAGTGTGTGGAGGGTAACCGTGGGGGCTTGTCTATCTGATGCTGCACTTACGTTATCCCAGGGCCTGGTGAGGTGGGCCCGTCACCTGGGCAGGAAGGGCTTGGAGGTCACACCTGATTGTCCTTGGCCGTGGCCCAGCCATGGGGACCGTCAGAGCCTCCAGCTCCTCTGCTGGCTTTTTCTCAGATGGAACAGCTGTGGCTAGGTAGGTGGTGAGTTTCAGCGAATCCCTACAGCTCAGCCTGGAGGTGACTCAGTGCAGGAGGCACATCGTGCCCACTCGCTCTGATTGGAGTGAGTTTGTTTGGCCTGAGTCACAGGCAGCGCGGTGTCAGCTGCTTGTGATTTGAATGGAGTTCGGTACCGGGACTTGTGAGCGGGAACAGCCACAGCGCCCGCCTGGTGTTGGGAGGCCACCAACCAGAAGTGGGCATGTCCTCAGAGGGAGCTAAGCCGACTCAGGCTGCCTGGCTCCTGGGCCAGGGTTCTGGAGCTCTGACCCCTGGGAAAGGCAAGCAGGGTCAGGTTTGGGTGGGGAGGGGGAGGAGAGCTGCAGGGGAGGCTCTGGGATTGTGGTCAGAAAGGCCCAGTGCTCTTCCGTGTGCCAGCGCGGGGTGACCTTGGGCAAGTCAGTTTACCTCTGGAGCCTTGGTTTCCTCAGTTGAAAAACAGGGACACCTATGGTGCCTTTGCCACAGGCTTATTTTGAGCCCAGTGTGGACCTAGAGCGAGTGCTCATTAAGTGTGAGTTCCCCGCCTCTTGCTTTATGGGCCTTAACCAGAAGAGGTTCTTTCCCTCCCTGCCCTTGCTCCTTGGGGTGGAGACAAAGGAAAGTGACAGGGTTTCACACGTGAGAGAAGCACCTGCAACTCAGCTGCAAACTGACCTACTTCCACCCCTCAGTTCTTCCAGGAGACCCTGAATGGGGAAGCCTGAGTGAGCGCAGGGCTGGTGGGGAGCCTGGGCTGGGTATGCAGGGTGTCCTGGGCTGGCTGAGACTCCTTAAGATTGTCCCTGACTGTGGCCTGGTCCCAAGTTACATGCCTGCTGGGTGTACTGCAGGGGTCTTGCCCTTGGAGCAGGTCTTGCCACCCTCCTCCTCACCTGCCCCCTCTGTAGGGGAGTTGGAAGCTGCAAGACCATGGAGTGTATTCCCTGCCTTCTCTAAAGGATTCGGGCTCTGGCTCCCTCCTCTGTAGTGTGTGTAGATTTGGTGCTGAGCTGAGATGTGTTTGCCTTAAGAGTGGAGGTAATGCTCAGTGGTTGACCATTGACCTATGAACCTGGAGGTCATGGTTTGATTCCCAGTTGGGGCACATGCCCAGGTTGTAGGCTCGATCCCTAGTGAGGGGGCGTGGAGGAGGCAGCCAATTGATAATTCTCTCTCATCACTGATGTTTCTATCTCTCTCCCTCTCCCTTCCTCTCCGAAATCAATCAATCTATCTATCTATCTATCTATCTATCTATCTATCTATCTATCTAAGAGTGGAGGCAATAGGGGGATCCCCAGTGCAGCAAAAAGGCCAGCTGGCCCGCGGGACTCTAGCTTGCTTCTGGAAATGTGTGCGTGTGCATGTGTGTGTGGGAGGGCACATGCACTCTGGACATCCATGCCCTTCCCATTGGATCTGGCAAATTCCAAGGTACTAGAGACAGAGGTGAGAGGACTCCTGAGAAGCAGGCGCCTTCTGTCTGGGCACCTTCCCTTCCCTCATGCCTGTCGGATTTGCTGCAGGAGGACAATTCATCATTAATCCCTTCAAAGCTGCTAAGATAAGCAGCAGAATATTTAAAGGGAGGATGAATTGGGGCTTTTTTCCCCTAGAAGCAGGTCTGACTTATCACCCACTCCCAGGCTGGGCTCAGGAAGTCCTCACAGCCACACATCTGGAGCCTGGATCACCGGGGTGGGAAATAAACCATTACTCGGCCCTGCAAAGCCCTCCTACATCAGCCTTCTTCCCCACCCCCCACCCCCCGCCTGCTGCTACTGTCCCAGGCTCTCAAAGGTCAGAAGCACAGTACCATGGGTAGAGCTGTTAGTACACGCCCCCAACTCAGGTGGGATGGGGATCTGTGAGGAAATGCCTACTGTGAGCTTTTAGGAGGGGTGGGTGCAGGCCTATACTCCAGCAGCTCACCCCGGTCTTGGCACCCAGCGATAATATCCTGATTTTTACGGAGGCTTCCGCGCTGTGCTAAGTGCTTTATTCATACACCATCCTGTCTAATCTTTGCTACCATCCCAGGAGACCGATCTTGCTCTTGGCGGTTGTACAGATGTGGGACTTGAGGCTCAGAGAGGTTAAATAACTTGGTCAAGGTCACCCGAGTTGTGCGTGGCAACCTGAGAATTAAAACTCAGGTCTGTCGGGTTCCAGACTTCCTGCCCTTGACCACGATGTGATATGTCCCATTATTAGTTCTTGACAAATGTTTACTGACCACCTAGGCATTTATCCAAACGAGATTGTCTGAATTCGTGTCCAGTTCTTTGAGCTCACGCCCTGAGAAAGGGGGCAGTGAGCCTCCGCCAATGGGAGTTGGTAGAGAATGGACAGACCTAAACTGGCAAGGTTGGGGAATGCGGTACGTGCTTGCACGAGGGTGGGAATCCAGAAGAAGGTCACGCCTGGCCTTCTCTTCCGGACTTCTGGCTCCCTGGCCTCATTCCCTCATAGGTTGTCAGGCCCGGGGCTGGTGCTGGGGCAGTGAGGGGAGAGCGGAAGCAGACTGGATCCCTCCATTTGTCCAGGCTGGGGCTGGTGCTGGGGCAGGGAGGGGAGAGCGGAAGCAGACTGGATCCCTCCATTTGTCCAGGCCGGGGCTGGTGCTAGGGCTGTGAGGGGAGAGCGGGAGCAGACTGGATGGTGCCCGGAGGAGGCCTTTTGCATCTGCAGAGTCAGGACCCCGGTGGGAACTGGGTGGGTCAGGTTTCTCTGCTGGAGAGTGTGAGCCAGGGCCTTGCAGAAGCGTCTGGTGAGACCCAGGGCAGCACTGCTAACGCTCCAGGGCTGTTCGCAGCAGCTGCCCGCATGGGCTGCTCAGAGTGATGCTGCTGCTCCCTGGTCTTGTCCCCTGGACAGCCCACCCTCCTCACCTCGGGGGCTCTGCCCCTTGTGTCCTTGGCATTCTGGGAAACTTGGCATCTGCTTCCTCCTGCTTCTCCATCTCTTCTCTCTCTGAGAAATCACCCTGAGGCACAGGCCTACACTATCCTAGCCCGCCTGGCACCCCTAAACCACCCGTGATCTCAGTGGGAAGGTCCTGTAAGTGAGGGTGGATCATTGGAGTGTAGGCATTAATGCTCCCCCCACCCCCAGTGGATACCAAGGGCCTTTCCAGACACCCCTGCTTCATGGGCACCCATTTTGTGCAGATGCCTTTGATAACCACCCCTCCCCACCCAGCATGACTAATTTAAGAAATAAAAACATTGTTCATCTATGGATATATCCAGGTATTCAAAAACATAGCTATTTACTGTGCAGGAAACTCACTTGTGAGAACAGGAGCTCAGGTACAAGGTGACCAGGTGAGTTACTGGACTGCATTATTCTCACGTTCAGAACCAGATATATCCATTAGAGAACAATTCTGGGTCAGGTGAGGTCCGGGCAACCTGAGTCCCCAACTTGGGAGGTGGGACTTAAGGCCCTCATGTGGCCTCATGGGGCAAGCGTGGGGCCAGAGGAAGACACGCCCCAGCTCCCAGGCCCGGGGTCATCTCCCCGGCCACACTGGTCCCATCGAGCTGCCACTCTGCCTTCCAGAGCCAGCGGAGGGCTCATTTAAGATAAGAAGTTGCCTCTCACT